ATCCGAACTCGGTTTTGGGCATGCTGCTTGAAGTGCCTATTAAACATCTAAGAGGGGATGAGTCGGAAGTTTAGAGGAGAGGTGCAGAGTGGAGATACAGAAAGGATTCCAAGAGATGAGGAACTAGTGGAACTAGGAAAGGATATTTAAGAAGTGGACAATATTAGGGGAAAAACAAGAACTGGTTGGGCCCTGGCAAATGACTCAGTATACTTTTCATTCTCTTTGTCCTTCCTTGTATCCTGTATCTGCTATATTTTTCGTAGCTAAAAGTTGAATTGAAAAAATATTAAAAATTGTGTTACTGCATTTGCTTCAGTTTGTTCTGAATTCAGCATAACATTCTTGTTCTGCCAGCTTCTCTTTTGGAGTGAGTAAAAAACTTTCAAGTGTTGCCAGACAAAATTCTCTCACACTCCAAAGACTGATTAACGTTGGAGAAAATGGGTAATGAGAAGGGAAGAGGTGACTTCACACAGAGGAATCTGTGCTAAGATGAGTCCTGCAGGTGTAGAAATAACAGTGGGATACAGTCATCAGATGAGCCCTAGAGCCCTGGGCATCCTCCATGGCAGTGGGTATCTTTTCAAGTAGAGAAACCAAGTTTACAGTAGTTTCAAATGACACTAAGCAAATGTAGAAAAATCCCTAGGCACTGGCTCCTCCTGCTTTTCTATAGAGCCTGGGACACACAGGTCATGCTTCGTGACTTTAGGAACTGGCAGAGGGAGTAAGAGGCAGTGGCCAGTGCCTGCTTTCTGTAAGGGCTCTGGTAGCATTGTGCAAAGCAACACAGGGTTTTAGTTCCCACCCACGGAAGCCTCCACTTGAAAGGGTGTGGTGTGTTGCAAGATGCATGAAGTCACCTCTTAGAGGTATACTTAAGAAGGGAGGATTAAAGAGAAGCAAATACCGTTCTTAGGATCAGAAGAATAACTTGTGAGCAAGCGTATATTCTAATTGTTCTTTTTTTTTTCCCCCATGCTGGGAAATCACATAAAAACCCGAGGCCCCAATAGGGAAACTCAGAGTTGAACTCAACATATTAAAACAAAATTTAAGGGGTGAGAAAGCAACAGCTCATGGATGGCAAAGAAAGTGGGAGCAAATTCATGCCAACCTTCTCTGCCTCCTACTAGATAATAAGATTCAATATGTTTTGTGAGGATGAAAATAAATGAGCTAAAGATTTAGAGCAGGAATTGGAAAAAAATACCTATATTTCAAAAGATTAGAGTTTGGAGCATTTCACTTTCACTACGACATTCGCATGAAAGATAATATTTGTTTTAGCACATCACACCCAAGAACCTCAAAACTAATACATGAGGCCTGGCCAGCAATGGCTAGTGGTTGAGCGTCGAACTATGAACCAGGAGGTCACAGGTTTGATTCCCAGTCAGTCAGAGCACATGCCCAGGTTGTGAGGGGCATGCAGGAGGCAGCCGATCAATGATTCTCTCTCATCATTGATGTTTCTATCTCTCTCTCCCTCTCTTGGAAATCAATAAAAATATATATTTAAAAAGCAACAAAAACAAAACAAAGAACACACCCTAATACATGAGGGTAATTTTGGATAAAAAGAAAATTCATTGTTTTTTTCTAACAGGCGTCTTAGTTCCTTAGATGTAGCTAATCTACAAATCACAGAAAGCTTTTAAAAAGTAGTTTGAATGTATTGTAATTTCATTTTATCCACTGAAGAGGTCCTGCCATCAGGGAGGAGTAGGAAGGTGGCCAGTCCCCATACCTCTCAGGCAGGGTCTGTCTAGAGGTATGGGTGGCAGGAGGGAGCTGGAGGGTTTAACATGCTTGAAGGTGTTTCTGATAGAAGATAGAGCCAGTTCCTGTGAAGTGCACTGACGTTTGCTCCCGTTCCTGCAGGTGTGGGAGGGACAGTTTTAGAATGGTGGCACAGGAACCAGCCCTTCTCGTGGTTCTGGACGAGTGAGTTTCTCCTCTAGGTCAAGCCTGTTAGGGTCCCCCAAGGAGGAACACATGAGGCCAGAAGGGGTGAAGAATTATAAATTTATTAGGTCATCTGGATGCCAGATGGGCTGAGCCCCAAAATGGCGCCAGCCCCCAAAGATTGGGAGTCAGAGGTTTTTCAAGGGCTCTAGGCAGGCTTTTTCTGGGTGGAGAATTCTCTGTGCAGGTCTGGATTCCAGGAAACTCCAGAGGGGAGAGATAATGGTCTTACCAAGTGGAATGTGGTCTAAGCAAGTGGAATGTCCATTGTGAAGTGGCCTAAAGGTCAGGTCCCAGGGGAGGGAGTATCGATTTAATTCCTCGATCAGACCTAACAAAGCCATAGGGATAATAAATAAACCCTCCTGTTGTGCAGGCTGCACCTCACCACCGTGGATCACTGGGACGGTCAGTAGAGTGAGGCAGCATGGAGTGGCCTGGTGAATGGGGGTAGCCATTTGCTCATTCATCCATTTAAAATGTGTTGTTGAGTGCCATCCATGTGCCAAGAATGGTGGTAGGAGCTAAAATACAAGAATGAACCAAGTAGACATAGAAACTGCCTCCATTTGTTTAACAAACTAATATGTAGTTGGAACTTGTGTTAAGTCCTCTAAAAGAAATCGAGTATAATGGGGTGGGGAGGGGAGGAGCCTAGGGAATAGTCAGGGGTATGAGAAGGGAGAGAAAGGGAGCAACCATATGGCCTGTGGCCCAGCAGTTATGGTGCCACTGCTCAGTTTTCCAGGAGGTTTGAGCCCTGCCCTGGAGGGGCAGGAGTCCAGAGGCAGGGTCGCTTTGAGAGTGGGCGATCACCTGGGTCAGCAGCAGGAGGAGTTTGGGGAAAGCCAAGGTCCACATAACATAGCGAATGCATAGATGGGAGGAGAGAGTGCTGCCCCAGCCCTGACCCCATTGGATTGGGCGGGGGGTGGGCGGGGAGCGGGGGGGAGGATCATTTTTTACAATTGTAAAATTAGTGTATGCTTTTTTGAAGAAAAACATACCCAATACCTTTAAAGCAATACATAAACATACATAAAGCAAGAAACAGTTCAGATTTTTGAGGACTCGCTAATACTGTTTCAAGGACTACAGGTGTTAACTCATTTAATCCTCATGACAATGGCACAGATGCCACTTTCCTCCTCTCCCCAAACTGGGCATAGAAGGCCAAAGCCACTATGCTGGGAAATCAATATGTTTTGTGAAGATGAAAATAAATGAGCTAACAATTTAGAGCAGTAATTGGAAAAAAATACCTATATTTTGAAAGATTAGAGTTTCTGACAATTTTTAAAAGTCAGAAAAGAAATGGGCAATATTTTGAAATCATATATTTAAGGAAAAAGGAATTAAAATTTAATGAATGAGAAAGACCCCAAAAGAATACCCTCCATATTTCTGAGGGCTTTACTTTTTGTTCCTCCTTTGATTCCATCTGTTTCTTATATTTTCTCTCTTTTTGTAACTTGTCTCAAATTTCTCTGATCCCTCTGTCCATTCAGTTCTTTCAATCACTTTTCTTCCTTCTGACTTTTTGAATTGCCACCTGAGAGTCCTCCACCCAGGTAGTCCTCTGCCTCTTCCCAGGCAGCTGTGGCCGCACAGGTTTCCATTACTGACTCTGAGGAACTCATCGGTGCTTGAGTGGCGGCTCTCCTGATGAACAGTGGCCATCCCAAGGAGTTCTTACACTTCTAAGATGCAGGGTGAGGCCATAATCTTTCCCACATTTTATTGACAGATAAATTGAAGTGATAGAGATTAAAGTGCTTTCCCAGGAACAAACAATGAGTCAATGATAAATGTTTTGCCAACTATCCACCCATTAGAAATTGGTCCATTGACGATATTCTTCTTTTCTAATAAACCTCAAAAAGACATAACAAATACTCTTCTAAACACAAATGAAAACTTTGTGAAGATCTGGATACAGGCTCTTGGGAGGGTTCCCTGTTTCTCCACCCAGTAGCCCCCTAAAGCACCCTCTTTTTCTCAACAGGCTCAGATGTTCAGCCCAGTTGCTCTCCAGCCTGAATGCCCTTCTAAGCTCAGATACTATGTCCTGCTTTTCCCTCCCCTTTAGTAATACAAGACATTTGCGTTTCCTAAAGACTATTGAGTACTTAATTTGTTCCTACAAAGTTCACTGGGGTCTCTGTTATTATCTCCAGTTTATACAGGATTAGTACCACACGTTTGAGGCCAGTATTAAGCCCTAGAACAATTATCTCTTGGTTCTCCTTGTTCAGCCTTTTAAAATCCCATAGAATATGGCTTTCAGTTAATATGTTCCTAGTTTAGATATCTCATCTGTTTGGTGGTGAAACCAGAGTGGTCATTCCTGGACATTGGGTATTGATGTGTGACAAGCTGGGAGTGTCACCTAAGAATTGGACAAGGCCGTCTCGCCAACCATCTCTAGTGGTTCATTGCAGTAAAGCGTCTGCCTTTCACTCTGGGAAGTTCCACAATGCTGGCTCTATTTCTGCCACAGGTCAATGGAGGTTGTTTTATGAATTTAAAAATAGCCTCCTCCTTTTATTCTCATTCTTCTGTTACTCCAGCCCTCTGCCTTCCTTATTCTCCTTTCTTCTCTTAGCAAGGTACTGTATTTGCTGGAGGATACAGAAGTCCCACAATGGTGTGTGTGTGTGTGTGTGTGTGTGTGTGTGTGACTATAAATTGGAAACACAGCAGCAAAATGGAGGAAAGTGAGGACAATGCTTTCCTCTAATTAAAAGCAAAACTCAAGTTTTTAAAGCTGACCATTTGGCCATGTTTATTCATCATCATGATAACACAAATAATAATAAAGAACTATGTGCTTTACACATGTTAAATCCTATGGAATATTTAAGATATATCCTTCCTTTTTTTAATATCTTTGTTTTTTAAAAAATTAATTAGTTAATTTATTTTTATTAAGTTACTAGGGGCCCAGTGCACGAAATTCGTGCACTTGGTGTGTGTGTGGGGGGAGTGTCCCTCAGCCCAGCCTGCCCCCTCTCACATACTGGGAGCCCTCAGGTGTTGACCCCCATCACCCTCCAATCGCAGGATCGGCCCCTTGCCCAGGCCTGATGCCTCTGACAGAGGTGTCAGGCCTGGACAGGGGACCCTCATTTCCCCCCATCACTGGTTCTGCCCCCAGCCCAGGCCTGATGCCTCTGGCCCAGGCATCAGGCCTGGGCAGTGGACCCCCAGACCCCTCCGATTGCTGGCTCTGCCCCTTGCCCAGGCCTGATGCCTCGGCCAAAGGCGTAGACCCCCATCACCCTCCGATTGCCTGATCGGCCCCCTG